GTGGGACAGATGTGCAGCAAACTCTCAACAGCTGGGACTGGGTGGGTCTACTCCCCCCACCCCACAGCTACCCGCCTCGCTCAGGGGTTAAAGTGAGCGAAAGAACCTGAGGATCAAGTCTCACTCCGGCATTGGAAGGAAAAGTTGGAGCACCGCCTCGGATTGGCTGACAGTATTTTAGAGGGAGTTGTAGCCTCCAATTAAAGGGGCACGGTTCAGGCAGGCTCTGCACAAGGTTTGAAGTGCAGCGGTGCTCACTGCGACCACGCTAGTCTACGGCCATTTACAAGCACAAGTCATTCACCGGCTGCTGCCTGGCGTGAGTGGAGAGAGCTGACCCCTTGAACACCAGAAGGGCGAATACACGGGCAAGGCGTGTCATGGATCTGAGCCCAGGCATTCAAAAGGTGAGTTGCAATGTGCTTTCTGCTTGGTGCATTCTTCCTACCTAGCACTTGCCTGGCAGGCTAAGTAGTAGCGTCTCCTCCCCCCCACTTCTGTGGCTGTTGCCAAGTAAAACCTCCAAACTAGTTTTGTCTAATGAAAACTTTAGAGACAGGTCCCCACAGCACGTGTCAGGTGGCATAATCGGTGGTTACCACTCCAGACATGAGCTATCTGTGTATCGAGACCACTCAGGGCTGAGCAGTTATTTTTCTTCCCTGCAGAAATGTCTATTTTCACTCCTGAACACCCGGTAACAGGGTCTCTGCAGTTAGCTTGTGTGCAGGGAGAATATGGTGTCACCTTGATCTTTCCTGGGCTCGTGCCAGTGGAGGTGTTAGCCTCTGGGATGAGGCTACTGTAATGTTTTCCAAAGTGGACAGTTAATCTGCTGACACTTCCTAGGATTTACTTTCTGCCACCGTGTGACTGAGTCCAACTTGACAGAGGCTGATAAACTGGACAGCCTACCTTTCTTAACAAACTGGTAGGTAGCCTGTTTTAGTAGTGCTCTAATAACAAAACCCCAGTCCCCTTTGCCTGTTGGAGCTTCTTTGGCCACTGCCAAAATGCTCATTCAAAGTACTGACCGCAGCAGCTCAGACAAAGGTGCTGCTAGCCCCTGGGATTGAACACTTACTCCCCCAGTGCTGGCCTGGTTCCCAGCTTGGTGCTTCCTTAACAAAAGTGCAGATCAACAAATAAAAAGTGAGTAGTTTAGTCGCCTAGCTTGAGGGCAGATCACTTACCTGCACAGGATGGAAAGAAGCCAGAGTCTGGAAGGAATTCAGTTCCCCATTCAATGGAGTCATTTATCTGCTAAGGATATGGAGAAATAACCCCAGTGGATGCAGTTTAAGGATTCTTTCCAAATCTCTTTGAGGTAGTTATCTAGCGGTGGAAGACTTGTCTGACAACACTTGCTGCCTAAATGCATGATGGGAGCGATATCTTTGGAAAGTTGAGATTCTTTATGAACTATTCCCCCCCAGGCTGTACAATGAGGGAGCGTCATTTAGAATTCACTCTCCTCAATAGACTGGAAATCTGCATAAAAATGGGTTTGGGCTTGTTCCTTTCCTTGGCAGAATTGGAGTATAATAGGAACATTGTCATTTCCTTGATTTTAGCACATTGTATGTGCCTATGAAGAGCTTTCGACTTTTCTCCAAGGCTACAAATATATATTTGGGAAGGGGGAATTCTTGTGTTGTGGGAGGAGAGCGATTTTTATATACCTGGGAGCTGCAGATGGTGGGAGGATTTTTTTTCAGTTCTATATTTTTGCACCACTGTGTGACAATTACACTCTGCCTGGTGGAAGGGTCAGTATGTAGCTGCACAGCCAACATTCCATCACAGCTCCTTTTGGGGTTAAGTGGCATTCATGATTACATATAGAGCTTGATCCTTCAAGCGCTGAGTGAGGGATGTAAAATCCAGTTAACTGGTTAACCAGTTAAAGGGGAAGGCGGGGGGGAGAGGCGGGAATCGCTCCAGCCTGGCTCCAGTGGCCACTCTGCCCACCACTGGGATGGAGCAGTCATTCTCCCCCACACCTCTGCAGGCAGGGGCTGCTCTTGCTCTCACAGGTGTACGCCATAACCAGTAAGCATCACCCATTTAGCATAAGGCTTACTAGTTAAACAATTAAACATTCACATCCCTATTCTGAGCGCATGCTTAATCTTAAACATGTTAGTAACCTCTAACACCAATAGAACTACTTCTGCTTAATTATCAGCTGGTGTTCTTGGGTGCTAGTATGCTGCTGAAGTGATCAGGGTTGTGAGTGGTTTTCACTATGCATCTGAGAACTATAGAAATTAATTCTGAGTGATTAATTCTGAGACTTTTTTTGTCCCTTTCTGGGCCTAATCCAAAGCACACTGAAATGAAGGGGGGAGAGGAGGTCTAATGACTTACATGGACTCTAGATCCATGCATAAACAGCAGACACAGAGGAAAGGAATGCTACAGAGTAAGTGTGTGTGTTACAAAACTATGCACTAAGGACATAATAAAAATCCTCAGGGATTTTTATTAACACAAGTTGAACTATATAAAGCTTTTGGACAGGAAAATGTGTATCAAGAAAACTACTTCAGTTGGCCAATGCTAGTCCTTATCTAAACGGATATGGCTCAGAGCTCCAACCACCAGTCTCTACTAAAGACTCAGTTGGCTCTTGAGAAATGCTTGGGGAAGGGAGGAGTGTTCAAGACTGGGGTGTTTCCAGTAACTTTATCTAGGAAAGCTCCACCCCTTTTCTGGAAGTGAAGACCCAGGCCTCTTCCATGCTAGCCTTTTGAGTCACAACAGGCAAACAGTTCAGTGGCTCCTGAATTTTAGTGGTCCGTCTCCAGAGAAAAGATACAAGGTGCCTGTTGCCTGGGAACTGGGAGTTCTTTGGCCTTATTTCATACACCAGCATGGCAGGACCTAGGGATGCATTCATTCTCACAATAACACATTCTGGGTGTCTTTAGCAGCTTAATGGCAACAGTCCAGTATAATAGTGCCCCCAGGAGTCCAGTATCATAGTGCCCCCAGGAGCTGGTTCGGTACAGCACATGTGGACTCACACTGGCGCTGAATTTCAGGGCTTTTGTTCTAATGACTATAGTCACCCTGGGATCTACCAGGTTTTGGAGGCAGGTCCTCTTCTCTGGCAGGACATGGGGGGGTTCCCCATGGAACCTCCAATGATCATCTTCACCAGAAATCCCACTCTTGGCTAGGAGTGGGGCATCTGTGTACAGGGCCAGCCTTAGGCTGATTGAACCTATTCCCCTGAATGTGGCCCCATGCCTAAGAGGGCCCCATCCCCTAAAGCCGCAATCGACTGGTTGATCACAAGGCCTCAACCAGTGGATCGTGAGGCGTTCGGGGCCCTCCATTCTCCCCCCCCCCCCCCCCAAAACCCCCTTTCCCACTCCC